TAAGGACCGCAGAATCCGCATGGATCCGGGGACCTCGTCATCCCTATTCTAGGGGCTGGGCCCTGAAACCCTACTCGCTGAAGCCCTGCACCTTAAGCCCTAAGCGCCAGGCTGCTTGCCAATCCCTCAACTCGGCCTTTGGGGCTTGATCGGGGGTCACGAAGCCAAAACCCGAACCCCGAGCGCCTGACCCTGTCGATTGCAAAGCCGCAAAGCCGCCTAAGCTGACAAGCCCGCAGTCTTAGCTGAACGCGTCTCGGAGGATCAGGGGATCTGGTCAGGCCGGTTGTCAGTACTTAAGGACTGCTTAAAGGATCATGGGACTTAGTATCGAGGGTTACAATTAGGGTAACTATACTTATAGCCCCAATTAGGGTACTTATAACCTTACTTACTAAGTCCCATGATCCTCCAAGCATAAGCACTTGTCACTATCCTCAACTTTCTGAAGTCTTACTTCTTCTAGCTTCCTGTAACCCCCGCACAGATCAGCCCTCGGCACCATGCAAAATTCTATGATAAGGCCCCAAGAAAGCACATAAGCAAAAATTTGGACAGGGATATCCCTTTAAAAGTTCCTCATAATGAAAGCCCATTAAGGTAGGGATATCCCCATACAATGCTTTTGCTTATGTGCTTTTTTAGGTCCCTATATGAGCCGCAATTCGCTCTCTTCAACTACAGAAAGTCGAAGAACTACGAGGTCGGAGAGGAGCTTTCACACTGAAGCCTGAAAGCGGATGACGCCCCATAATATAGGGGCCTTGACGATTAGAATCGGGTTTGGGGGTATAATATACGAAACTTATGAGAAGGAGCCCCCCAAAATAGTATTGGTAACTATTTCGGCCCCTATATTAAACCCCTGTAATAGCCCTTACAGTAATCTTTATAGACCCCTTTGAAAGGACCCCTTAAAGGGAACCCTATCCTAAGCGCTAGACACAGTGCCCAAGGCGGGCAGATCGGCACCGTGGTGGGCATCGACGAGGACGGAGATCTCCGTGTGATTAAAGCGGACTCCAGCTCGACCGCAGTGCCCCCGCAGCAGATTCGGGTTTCCGAAAACTAGGGCCAACTAGGGATACCTTATTTTGGGGTCCTTATAATACGGATCCTACTATTTAGGGTACTATTATATTAGGGTCCCCGATTTTCGGAAAATGAGGGGTACCTTATTGTGGGGCACGAGGGCTTGCAGGGGTCTCTGCTTGTCGTACTCTCATGTCGGCCCAAAAGGTAGTCATCCATGCTTCCTAGTGAGGGTTTAGGCTTGCAGTGTTTAGGGCGTATCCTTGAGCAATCTTGAGCTTCGCTAAGCTTGAGTGAGTAAGCACAGGATTGACAATGATTGCCGCAACTAACACTAGGGCTGGTTTGACCGTGCCTATGACTACAACCGTGAATGATTGTGAGCGAGTGTGCCCACGACTCAAAGTGTATAGCCACGCCTTCGAGCTGCAACAACCAGGATTCCTAAACCCTCAACCGAGGTGTGGTTTGCCTCCAAGTGCACCAAGACTTTCAGCATCGGAGACCGTGTGGGCTACAACGGCGGTGATGTTGCGGAGCTGATCGGATTTGATGCCGATGGCTCCTTGACTCATCAACCCAAACCCTACACCCCGAACCCCATAATGTTCTGTAGATACACCCTACTTGGAGGTTCATGGGTACTTATAAGTGGGGTTATAAGTAGGGTAACCATAATTATAACCAATATTAGGGGACTTATTTCCCCACTTATAACTTCCCGCGGCTCCTCCTTGTCGCAACTCCTCCTTGTCGCAACTCCTCCTTGGCGCAACTCCCTAAACAGGAAGTCGGGGCTTGGGGACCAGATGTTTGGCTTTGGGGCGCAGTCGGTTTAGGGTTTAGGGTTTAAGCTGGAAATGTAGTTTCGGATTTGGGTCAAGGCGGTGCCATGCAGAGCGGCTTAGGGTGTAGGCCAGGATAAAGGTGGTTTCTGCTACCTCTGGGCCCTGCCTGACAATCCAGAGGTGTACGGTAGCCTCAGGCAAGACGGCTTCATGCAACGCGATAGGCAGGGGCCCCTTCCAGGTGACAGCCAGAAAAACTGCTTTCCGGTAGAAGTGCTCGGGGACAAAGCATCTCAAGCCTGGTTGCTTTTCTAGGCATAGCAGAGCAGTTGACATCTTCTCCAAACAGCTCTGCCGTGTACACTGGAGTGGTTAGATAAAGCAGTGCGATTCAGAATGTTTGCGTTTCTGGTTTCGGGTTCCTCCCTAACCCCCAAAACCCTCAACGCTAGACCCTAAACCTTAAACCTGAACCCAGATGAATACACCCCCAGCCCTGCAGGCCTGAGCCCTAAGCCACCGCAAGTCGGCAAAGCGAGTCCATGCACGAGACCCTAAACCCGAAATCTTAAACATTAGACAGAACAGGAATAAATGGATAGATACACATATTTTATTTGTTTACATACATACATACATTCATACATACATATGTATATATATATATACACATATGTTTTAATAGGTTGCTATATCTGCATATCTATATAACGATATCTCTACATATCTATATGTTTATATCACTACATAGCTATATACCTATATATCTGTATTGTCTGCATTACCTGTGTTATCTGTATGTCTATATCTAAAGCTTTGTCATCTATATGTTTATCCATGTCCTATTTTCTGTATTTTCCTTTTTTCTATATCCCATGTCTACACCCTATATGTCTTATCCTATAGCCTAGTTTATATATACATATACATATATATGTATATATAGATGTATTTCTATGTATGCACATACCGTTTTTCTATATATCTGTATATCTATCTACCTTTATTTCTGTAAATCTGTATATCTCTAGAACTATATCGCTAGCGATGGCTCTGTATACACACCTATAGAGATCTATCTATGTATGTCTGTCCATCTCTATCCATGTCTATCTATCTCTATCTGTTTTCATCGGGCTTCTGTCGATAGACAATCACCAAGTACACTAATACGTCCATGTATGTGACTGCTATACCTCTCTCTCTCTCTCACACACACACACCCATATGTACATATGTATATCTATATATATATATATATATATATGTGTATATATACATATATATATATATATGCATATAGCATATGTATATATATACACATATATAGGCATGCATGAAGGCACATATGCATATGCCTATGTGCATACGCATATGTGTATACATATGTACATACCTTGCATGCACTGTTTTAGATATATGCTGAACCATATATGTATATATGAGTTTCTCTCTATGTTTGTATTCATCTGTATATATATATATATATGTATGCATTATCTACTTATACCTACCTGTATGTATCTGTATCTTTCAGCATCTATCTATATCCATCTACATCTATCTATCATTATCTACTTATACATACACATACACTACTACTACACACACCCACCCACACACACTAACACATACAATACATGCATACATGCATACTTACATACTTACATACTTACATACGTACATACACGTACACGTACATACATACACACATACATACATACATAGAACGCCCTGCAAGATCGACCGGGTCGTCTGTTTCTGGGTTGTTGCAACCTGAGGTTGCCCAGGCGGTGCCCACCGGAGAGTTTCAGAAAATGAGCCCCAAAACCTTACAAAACCTAAATCTTAAAACCCTAAACCTTACAAACCCTAAACCTTAAAAGGTTCTTATCCACAATTTCGGATATAGGGTTGTAGAAACAAGCCTTAAACTGAGAGAACACCCCACTCCAAACTCCAGGGGGCCCAATTTCGGGTCGAGCGTTTCATGCTTCTAAACTGGGCCTGCATAATTGGAATGGGCTTTTATCAAGGTTTGTATGAGGGTGTCTATAAGAAGTTTAAAGAGTCTTATGGTGTTTAATACAGGGGTCTTAATAGTCATACTACAGTAGAAACCTTTCGAGCCCTTACAGGAGCCCTGCTCTAGCTGTTAAAGCCGCTATACTGGATCAACCCGCACGTTCGTGAGCCCTACTCTATCGGCCCTCGGGTTTCATTAGAAGCCGTCAGATACATAGCAGGGGAGAATACTTACAGGATCATGGGACTTAGTAACTAGGGTTATAATCAGGGTAGCTATACTTATAACCCTAATTAGGGTACTTATAACCCTAGTTACTAAGTCCCATGATCTTTTAAGTAGGTTATGGGAGTGCAAAGCAAACTGGTTTCAGAAAATTGAGGGAATCGAAGCCCAGATATCCGGACAGTAAACAGTAGAGGCCTTTGGATAATATGAGAACCCGTGAAATGAGGTAACCCTTTGCTTTCAGAAAAACTCCAGGTGACTTCATCGTTCGTCGTGCAGACGGCTCAGAAGCCGTTTGGTACCGGTGTCCCTGGTCCGCAAACGCTTTCCATAAGGCATCTTGCTCCATGGGTTCATGTGGGTAGTTGTCAAAACTATAGGCCACTTTTTTGGGCACCCTAAATATTAGGTGCCGTATTATAATACGGATCCACAAAGGGACCATAATTCTGACAACCACCCATGTAGACAATCAGGGAACTGTGTAAAGCAGGGTTATAAAGAAGGGGAACTGGGTATGGTATACGGTTTACATACATTCCCAGGTGCTTGCAGACTTGCTTACTAAGTCACCTGATCCTTCAAGTAACAGAGGCTTGCCAACTGATCATCCTAGAGCTGTCTCCAGGGGGAGTTCTCGGTTCGCAGTTCGTGTACTTGGAGGATCACGGGACTGAGGAAGTAAGGTTATAGGTATTTTAGCTGGGGTTGTAAGTATAGTTACCCTCGTTGTAACCCTCGTTACTACGTCCCATGATCTTTTAAGTAGAGTGTTCTCGAGATTTAGGTCAAGGCCTTAGGGGTTTCGGGCTTTTAGGGGTGTAGGGGTTTCGGGCTTTGAGTTTAGAGTTTTTGGGTTTAGGGGTTCAGGGGTTTAGGGGTTTAGGGTGAAGGGTTTAATCGGGGATGCGTGGGGATCGGAGCCCATGGGCTCGGCTGAAGCCACCTCTTGGCTGCGCGAGCTCATCGAGGAGGAGATTGGAGCTGATGCTGCCCGAAAGCTCCGGGCGCATTCTTGCAAGGTTACATTGCTCACATGGGCAGGCCAATCTGGGAGATTCAGCCGCGAGGAGAGAACTCTTCTCGGCCACCATGCCGAAGCGACGACGCGATCAGCGACGTACGATCGTGATGCGGTCCTCGCATTGCACAGTAAAGTTTTCTTGATGCTCCAGGACATCAGTGCTGGGTTGCAGGAACCCGATGCTCCGGCTGCCAGGAAGCTCTTATCCATGGCCTCTCTCGACCGACAGCCAGTAGCCGAAGAATGGAAATAAACGGCATAAGGGGGTATGTTATGCCTTTTCATAGACACGACAAAGCATAGCAACAAAGCTTGATGCCCAAGGTTGTATATTTGTATACTTGTAGTTCAACGGCTGATGCGTACGCATCAGGAGCTCATAACGAAGGAAGAGTTTTCGCACAACAAGGGCAAGGGCCTTGGTTGAGTCATTCAGTGCTTTGCACTTCCGTCTGTCAAATGCCTTACCAAACCGCTAACCCTTAGCCTGGAAACCCCAACCTTAGGGACCCAAAAAGCACATAAGCATAAGCAGTTTATGGGGATATCCCTCCCTTATTGGGCTTCCTTTTAAGGGGGTTTATCTGGGATATCCCTATCCTCACTTTTGCTTATGTGCTTTTTTGGGGCCCTCCAACCCTTGCCCAAACCTCGAAGCCTCTAGCCCTAAGCCCCTAAAGCCCTATAGCCCAAACTCCTCGACCCAAAAAACCTCAGGTTTAGGGTTTAGGGTTTAGGGGTTTAGGGTTTAGGGTTTAGGGTTTAGGGGTTTAGGGTTTAGGGTAAGCCCAAAGCGCCTAAGCCGTCAACCCCGAGGCAACAGCACCCGGCTCCTGAGCATCGGAGACCGTGTGCACTACTGTGGCGGAGATGTCGCCACTGTGGAGGGCTTCGATGAGGAAGGCCACCACACGTAGGTGATGTAACCACCCCACTCCGCCATGTTTGAAAAACTCCCAGATGCTGTGCCCGGCTGCCAATCTCTGCCACTTACCTGTTTCGGATTGGTGGTTTGGGGTCGTAGTGTCTTTGCCATCCTAGCCTCTGCAGGTGATGTGGAGGTCGTCAAGACCGGTGGTGTCAAGAGTGTGTGGTTTGCAAGCAAGTGTCCGAGCCTCAGAAGCTACTCCAACGCCCCCTCCCCACCAACCCTAAACCCTAAACCCGAAAACTCTGGTTTTAGTGTAAGCCGACTTTGGCTGGATCATTTCGCAGAAAGGGTCCATTGCACTTTAAAAAATCCCCTAAAAATAGACTCCTTGGTCTTAGTCCCTAGACCCCCCAAACACCAATCTGAAAGACCCTGGACCCTGAGGCCCTGAACCTTAAAACCCCGAAACCCTGCACCCCGAACCTGGACCGAGGTTTGGGTTTAGGGGTCTACTATCATGGGACTTAGTAAGTAAGGTTATAGGTACCCTAATGAGGTTATATGTAAAGTTACCCTAATTATGACCCTAGTTACTAAGTCCCATGATCCTTTAAGTACGGTCTAGGGTTTGGTGCTTAGGGGTCCAGGGTTCAGGTTGAAGATTTGGCGTTTAGGGTTGGTTCCATTTTTGGTAGCTCTGTGTTTTTTCCATGTCTTTGGCGATTCTGATGCTTCCATGACCATGGACAGACGCGGTCAAGAGAGTTGTATCTTTCGCGTCGCGTAGTATTTGAGAGTGGTAGCCAAGTATAGTCCCAATCTATTTACACTACAATGCTCCTTCACCCTCAAACCTTATCCTGATTTTGAGGACCCCTAGATAATGATGGTGTCAGGAATCAGCCTCGTGCTGCTGTTCATACTTTCTGCTGCCATCATCATCATTCTGATTATGCGTGCTGCTTTGTTGCTTTTGATATTCAAGGAACAGCACAGGTTTTGATGATGATGATGATGATGATGATGATGATGAGTGGGATCGCGTTGAAAGTTTACGAGGTGCAGTTGATGTTTCTCCCACTTTGGGAATTTCCGAAAATTAGGGGTCCTTTAGGGTTCCTTTTAAGGGTTACTATAAAGGTACTACAAGGGTTTCTTTACAGGGCTCCATAAGGGTGTAGAGTTTCCGAAAATTAGGGGTACATTATTTGGGGGTCCTTATAATAAGGACCCAACTATGTAGGGCACTATATTCGGCTCCCTTATTTTCGGAAACTCCCACTTTCTGTTCCTGTTTAGCGAACTCCGCCCCTGGACTGTCAGCCCCCCAGGCTCGGCCCTCCCGTTTCGGGTGCCAGGTGTTCGCCTGTTTCCAATAAATCCCTCTTCCAGCAGCCCTCTCCCGCTCCAAAAAGTTCCGAAATCCTAGAAACCATACCCCCTTGCAAAATGTCCTTGAACGCTTTCCCGCGGCCCCAACAGAACCCAGGAATCAATTTGCTAAAGTCCTAAGCCCTAGACCCTAGTGAACCCTAGACTTAAACCCTAAACCCTTTCTAAAAGGAAAAGCCTAAACCCTAAACCCTAAACCCTAAACCCTAAACCTCATGAACTCCAAGGCCTAAACCACGATAAAGGGCCCAAGCTGCGACGCATTTGCCCAGGCATTCAGGGCCTCGGACCTCTGGACAAGGCATTCTTGCCAGATCTTGCGGGGCTTAGGGGGTTTAGGGGATTTAAGGGTTGTTACAATCAGGTAAGGGGGGTTTAGGGGATTTAAGGGTTGTTATAGCCAGGTAATGTGGGATTAGTGCAGGGTTTTATGTTTCTTCATCTTTCAAACTCATTTTCATAGGCTCGTAGTACTGCTTTATGGGGTGTCCACGGGGTCCTCTGCGTTTCTTACAGGGCGATGGGGTACTTTTTGGGTTTGATGGAGTGTTTACAGGCTTCTTGTATGTTTTTGCTTGGTTTAAGAGTGGGGTACTTTAGGCATGAGGGGTTGTTATTCGGGCGCTCGCAGGGTCTCATGGCATTCTAGGTCTTTTGTGTTGCTTCGAGGCTTCAGCGTCTGTAAGGTTTTGTGGAGTTGCAGCATTTAGGCGTTCTGGCTTGCCGTGGCTCACGCCGGAGTCTGACGAAGCCACACAGCTCTTCTCTTGTTATAACCCAAACGGCTAATCCAGAAGCACCAGTTCAACCAAAGCTGAGCACCCCAACACTAAATTCAACGCCCCTAAGTCCAAACCCGACAGCTACGCAGTTTCGTGACCTTTGAAATACAGACAAAGGTAGCTCACAGCATTTTGCTCTTCCTAGCCCTGGCTCGCAGTGAGTCCTGACAATCCTGAGCTCTCAAGCCTTGAAGTCAAGCCTTAGACAGCCTTGTGGGCACGCTTGGGTTCCTGCGTCAACTACTACTACTACTACTACTACTACTACTACTACTACTACTACTACTGCTGCTACTACTATTACTGTTACTATTACTCTTAATATTACTGTTACTACTACTCCTGCTGCTGCTGCTACTACTACCACTACTACTACTGCCAATCGTATTGCTACTGCTACTGCCGCTGCTCATTTTCCTCCTCCTCCTCCTCCCCCTCCTCCTCCTCGTCCTACGCCTCCTACCCTTCCTACTGCTACTAGCTCCTCTTTGCAATCAGCAGCTTTACGTTTCAACTTACCGCATTCTGAGACGGCGATTTTGCAGGCGCTGCCCTCGGAGGGCCCTTGAGGCTTCCAGGAGATGCGGGGGTTTGGGGTTTAGGGGCTGAGGGTTTCTTGCTTTGGGCTTAGGGCCTGGGGTTTAGAGCCTCGTTTGGCGCTGTAGGGTTTAGTGTTTTGTGTTTTAGGGTGCAGGGCTTAGAGTCTAGAGCCCCTTTTTTGGTGCCAGGGTTTGGGTTCGTTCTTTCGGCGTTCAGGGTTTGGGATATTTGTTTAGGTTTTAGGGTTTATGTTTCGGGTTTCATACGGTCGTTGTTCGATCCTGCTTTTCGAAGTTGCTGTAGGGTGTAATTCTCAGAGACTTGTCCAACGTTTTATGTAAATTCTCGGGTTTGGGTATATTGGGTTACAAGTATAGTTACCCTAATTATAACCATAGTTACTAAGTCCCATGATCCTTTAAGTAATGCTCACAAGGGTGGAAACGACGGCGTTGTCACGAACTTATAAACGTCCTTGTGGCATCCCAACTTCCTGCCCAGCGCCATGCAGGAAATATGCCAACGACGACAGCTTTTCATAGACAGCCAAAAGGGGCTTGAAATCGGGCTGTAGAAACTAACTAACTAGGCCTCGAACCCTTATCAACCTTTTGTAAGCCGGTATCAGCTCCGGAGTAAAAGCCCCTTCTGGCTTGCAAACAGCTTTTCTAGCGGCGGGCTTGAGGGCTTCTAGCTGCCGGGGGTCTCGTATGTTCTTCGCCCCAAAGCCTTACGGCCTAGAACCCAAGAACTTAAAAACCTCTACCGGCGAGGCGGTTTGCTATAGAACCCTGAACAATTTTAAGAAGTATAGTGCCTTTCCTTCGGGTTCTTCACCCTCTTCGCATCGAGAGCGCTACATAGGTTTAAAATGGGTTAAAGTTTTTGGGTTAGGCACTCGGGTCCCTTCAGTTGGCGTTCGGGATAATCAAGATCATGGGATTTCGGGTTTAGGGTTCAGGGTTTAGCGGTGGGAGGCTCGACTGGGTTTTGGATTGGGCTGTCATTACTGCTACTATCACTATTCCATCTGACATTATCATCGCTATGACTCGTTTTGATACTGCTTTCATTTCGAGCGTCGCTATTCCCTCAGCTATGCATGTTGTCACATTTTTTGGTTGTAACAGTTGTTCAGCTATTCTTCTTGTTCTTTTTTCTTGCTACCATTCATTTTTAACATTGTTATTAATTTTGGTCCGGTTTTTATCCCGGTTCCAGCTAAGGGCATTGCAGGCTTTGGGGTTTCAGAAACCTTTGAGTTTGGCAGCTTTCGCATGCCAAGCATTCAACGGTTTCATGATATTTACGGAAGGTTTTGCGGCATTTGGGATTTTGGCTTGTTAAGGCTTCGGGGGCTTAGGTTTTCTAGCTTTGTAGGTCTCACGGACTGTGGGGGTTTATAGGGTTCAGGGTTCAGGGTTGGAGCTGTACCGCCAAAGCATAAAGGGCGACCTGAATGGCTCGCTGCACTAGGGGCTTTTTGGATTCCCACAATACCGCCCTAAACCACCTCACAACAAGGACCTGAAGCACGATCCTAATTTAGTATCCGTATACCCCAAACTCTAAGCCCTCAACCCTTGTAAAACCATATGAATAGCAGCCGCCCTAACCACCGGAAAGCCCTAAACCCAAACCCTAAGGCTTTTGTTCGCAAATCTCCTTTCTGGCAGCAGCCACGTCTTCCGCCCCAAGGGCGCCTCGCACAACATGGGGGTGAACCCGAACCCGGAGGTGTGCTTCTTACTAGCTAAGTAGGCTTTGTTGGATATAGATGTATATAATATATGTATATATGGTGCAGCGCTGCTAGGCCCCCCCTCCCCCCCCCACCCCATGGTATCCCCCCCCTCCCCCCCTGTGGTTCGCTGTGGTGTGGGTTCCCCCCTCCCCTCCCCCTGTGGTTGCGGTCGGCTGTGCCCCCTTCCATGGCTATTGCTGGTTGGGCGTCCGGCTGCTAAAGGTTTTGACCTTAGGATGTGATACAGTTCCACTGGACTCCGACCTGCCCTGAGCTCCAAAGCCAATGACAGAGATGAATTTTTTGGTTATGATAATGACCAAGATTGTGGTCATGATCCCCACCTACGGTCCCTTGCTCAAGAGTCCCGAATGAAAACCATTCAAACTCGTTCTCAAGCTTACTTTTAACGTAAAACAATGAGCATGCGGTGCCGAAGCCCAGAGCAACACAAGAGCAAAGGTACCACCAACAGCCACACTGGGAATAGCACATCAACATAATTGGGCACAACATCATCGCCATCATTCTCACCTGTATGTCGAAGGGGAGGGGAAGGGAAGGGGAAGGGGCCCTGTGGTTCTACGGGTTGTGGGTTGCCCCTGGCGCTCCGCCCGTTTGCTTTGGAGAGGTATGTTTTGAGGGGGGTTGCGCGGATGATGTGTGACTGTTTGCTGGGACGAGAGGCCTGGCCGCGCGGGGGGGGGGGCATACCATGGGGGGGGCCTGCGACGCGGCGACGCGGCACCATATATACACACATATCTATCTATCTATCTATTTATCTATCTATATATATATATATACATATATATATATATACATATATATACACACACATATACGTGTATGTATATACAGGTACATATCTAAGCCGATACACAGCCACTGTAGCTAGCAGTCGGTCATTTTTTTGGCTGGGGTTTCAAGCCAAGATTCAGTGGTCTCCGGAAGTAGAGAAGTGTAATTCCAGGATGGTCGCGAAGCCACCCTATTTCGCATCTCCATGTGTCTGCCAGCCACGTCATCCGACCTACTTGTTGGGTCCGGGGACTTAGTAGGTACAGTTCTCAGTGCCTTAAGTGGGGTGATAAGTGCTTCTAGCTGTCTCTTAGTCCCGATGTATATGCATACATACATACCTACTCAGACACCTATGTTGACAACTACACACATTTACAAATTGGCTCTTTTGTAACCGAACCTACTCAGTCCCTTCACGCATTGATAGCTTTCTCGCTCGTGGCGAGCAGTCTGGTGGTTCTCACTGCGGAGATTTCCCTATCCTTTTGGGAGGGAAGTTTGATAATTGCGAATCTTTTCGGGCTGTTGAATACTTCAGGGGCCTTACAAGATCACCTATACTATTTGGGGGGCTCCTTCTTCTGCAATTATTGGGGCCCCTACATTATGGGGTTCTCGAAGGGTCTTCAGTAGCGTTCTTCGGGCGCTTTAAGTGGCTTTTTCCAGCAATAATCTCCTTGCAGTTCAACTTGCAGCGCTTTACCTATGTTTCTTGTTGGGTCTAGGTTTCCGGGGCTTGAGGTAGCCTGTCATGTCGTGTTCTTAGGCAAGCTGGGATGAGCCTCAGTAAGCCCTAAACCCTAGTACCGCGAAGCAGGGGTTGATTCCAGGCTTGAAGCGATGTATATATACATATATATATATATATATATGTTTTGTATATAGACTTAAGGGTCCCTAGAGTCCCCCTCGAGTGTAGAAGGCCTGCTTGTTTCCATATATACCCTTAAGTTAGGCCCTTAAGGTTCCTAGGGGCCCTAGATTGATGGGGCCTCGGCTTTGAGAGCCTCAGTTTTCCGTTTCATCTGCCTGAAAGGCAAGAGCTTCGGCCGACTGACTACAGGGACTGGTACAAAACTTAAAAGAACGTAGTAAGCATATTATAAGTCTGGATTAAGGACTGGAAATAGAATGCATATTACGTCCAAGTTGATGAGTGTATATGGGGTTCCTGTTGAGTGTGAACGTTCGTAAATGCGCATGTTCGATGTTGGTACGGGGATGCTTGTACTAAAGGCCGGTTTCACATGATCGCTCTGCAGGGAGTTCTTTCAAACGTTTTTATTCGGGTCGGCAAGGAAAGGCCATAGCAGGGCATAGACAACAATCAAGGCCTTTTTTCGGGGTTTGCAGTTGATGAGGTAGCCTATAGAAGGGGTTGTTGTATAACATGATATTATTAGACTAGTTACAGGGTTAGATCAGTTTGACAGAGGCTAATATGACAGCTGGCTCCGGATCAGCAGTGGGCTGAAATTCTCATCAACACTCTTACTGTCTTACTTGTAGGCTCAGGGGTTGAAGTTCATTCGTTTTTCTTGCAATATTGCGCTCTCTATCCCGGCTGTGACTGTAGTGGCCTCTCTTGCGCGCAATCCTTGCAAAGAAGCCTGCCGCAAAGGACTGGCGGGTGCGAAACATGGGCCGCCGAAAACAAGAGACAGAGCCCTGAGCGCCTGCTGCGGCTGATTTCTACTGTGCCACTGCTGCTGATTCCGTTGCTGGCTCCGCTACTGCTGCCAATGCTGCTTCTGCTGCTGCTACGACTGCTGCTGGTGCTACAACAGCAGCACCACCACCGCCAACAAGAAGAATAATGAGAATAGGAACAACAATAACGACAAGAAGAACAATAAGAAGCATAATGAGGATAATACCGGGCACAACAATAACAAGAACAACAACAAGCTTTTGTCTCTACCAGCAGGTAGAGACACAGTCGTCCACCAGCACCACCAGCACCAATAGCAGCAACAAGACCAACAACAACAACAACAGCAGCAACAGCAACCGCAATCACAACCACAACCACAACAGCAGCAGCAACAACAGCAACAAGAAAGTCACCAACTTCAACTTCAACGGCTGCTACAACTACAACTGTAACTACTGCAACAACAACTACAAGTAGAACTGCAACTGCAACACCTACCTACCCACCCACCTACCTGCCTACCTACCCGCTTACGTACCTGCCTGGTTACTACTCTATAGGTAGAGCCATACGAAATTTGGAAAGTCAGGAACAGGACTGCCAACTCTCATGCGAACAGAAAGCTCCTAGCAAGAACAGTAGCATCACTACAGGAACTTTCAGGTTCGTTGGCGTGTCACAAGCGCTTTGCAGGGTTAAACGGACTTATAAGCATGACTACTCCCAATCAAGGAGCTCACGACCTCACTTTGAACGGCAAGAACCCTTTCGGAAAAAACGCCCATAATAGACCTACGACCCCTGCATCCTCCGAGTGTGAGCCGGTG